AGGAGACAGAGACATCAGGAGGAGACAGACAGGAGACAGAGACATCAGGAGGAGACAGACAGGAGACAAGAGACATCAGGAGGAGACAGACAGGAGACAGAGACATCAGGAGGAGACAGACAGGACACAGAGACATCAGGAGGAGACAGACAGGAGACAGAGACATCAGGAGGAGACAGACAGGAGACAGAGACATCAGGAGGAGACAGACAGGAGACAGAGACATCAGGAGGAGACAGACAGGAGACAGAGAGAGTGGGTTAGGGTCTCTGACCTCTCCGTGACCTCGGCCGTCTCGCCCTCTTTGTCCTTGTCCTCGTCCTTCTTCTCGCCCTTCTGCAGCGGCTGTGAGATGATGTCGTCGGTGAAGGAGCTGAAGTAGGACTTGATGAACTGAGGAGACGGCATCATGGGCTCTCGGTTCTGAAGCAGAGAGAGAGAGAGAGAGAGGGGTTACTGAGAGGGTCCGGAGGAGGTGAGGAGGTCAGGAGGTGAGGAGGTGAGGAGGGAGGAGGGAGGAGGTGAGGAGGTGAGGAGGTGAGGAGGTCAGGAGGTGAGGAGGGGAGGAGGTGAGGAGGTCAGGAGGTGAGGAGGGAGGAGGTGAGGAGGGAGGAGGTGAGGAGGTGAGGAGGTGAGGAGGTGAGGAGGGAGGGGTCACCTTGTATTTGTCTTTGGCCTTCTCCTTGCCCAGCTGCTTCAGCACCTTGTCTGCCAGCAGCATGCTCTGCTGGTTCTGGAAAGCTTCCAGGATGCAGACCGCTGTGACGTCTGCACACACAGCAAGCACACACAGCAGCTCAGACAACACGAGTAAGGGGCCGCTCAATGCCCAGTGTGTGTTTCTGACAGAGACAATCAGTAAAGAGCGAGAGTTTCTCTGTGATGGTGAACAGAAGGTATGATGGGAGCGTCTCCTTCAGTGTGGATGCTTCAGGAGGTTTTCAGCGTCTCGATATAAATATTAACATAAAGTGAAACAATGGAGAAAGTTTAAAGTCTGAGTTTCTGCTGCTAACGTTAGCTCAGCTTGTTCTCGTCTCATCACTAGCATCCTTCATTAGTTAAAAAGAACCAGGATGTAAAAAGTGTTTGGTGGAAACGTGGATTCAAACGGGATAAACAGAGGGTGTATGACAGCGCTGCTGAAAGGAGAGCCAGGCAGTAACAGGAGAGAAACTACTAAACATACAACACAGGGCTGGAAAGGTTTGTCGTTACACATTGAACATTCAGACTGACCTTCCAGGCACTCCCTCCTGTTCTCCAGCTTCTCCAGAGCTTTGGCCCTCCTGAACAGAGCCTTGATGTATCGAGGGTTCATGTCCACGGCCTGAGAGCAGTCCTGCACCACCTCGGCCCACTTCATCTGCAGACACAGGGGTTCAAACCAGAGCTCGTTAGGAACATTTCAGGACCTGGCCAAGACATTTTTAAGACCCTTTTAAAGACCTTTGTAGGACCTTTTTAAGAACTTGTTAAGACCTTATTATTACATTTGTAGGACCCTTTTAAGACCCTTTTCAGACCTTGTCAAGACCATTTTAAAGAACTTGTTAAGAACTTTATGAATGCTAATTAAGTATTACATCCATACTGGAAAACATGAGTAAATAGGTTTTGAATGAGAATCAGACTCCAAGGATTACCTGCAGAGACACCTCAGATTCAGAGAACATGGTTTTAAACCGCTCACCTTTATTGCTTTTATATTATTTATAGCCTTTTATAGTGTTTAAAGTCCACAGGTGTTTGGACCCAGGTAGGTTTAGTTAATATAAAGTTACCCGGTGCAGACTAAGCCCTGCTCTAAGAAGCAACTTCTGATGCAGCTATCCCTAAATTAAAACTTAACATAATGATATAACATCTAATTAAAGACTTTTAAAGGATCACTGTGAACCTGCAGTGAGGTTTCATTGAAGTGAGAAAAGCTCCACTCAAACAAGAGGCTGGAAAGATTTGAGAAAGTTGATGATTAGCAAAGAGTCAGCGACACATTGACCAGAGACTGCTGTTAGCAGAGAGTCAGCCACACATTGACCACAGACTGCTGTTAGGAGAGAGTCAGCCACACATTGACCACAGACTGCTGTTAGCTGAGAGTCAGCCACACATTGACCACAGACTGCTGTTAGCTGAGAGTCAGCCACACATTGACCAGAGACTGCTGTTAGCTGAGAGTCAGCCACACATTGACCACAGACTGCTG